TCGGCATCGTCAGTGAGTATCGCGATTCTTAGCACCATACAACAACTCGTCAAAGAGACAACTCTCTTTGCGTTCCTCTAAGTCTTCCTACCAATATGACCATGTTGCGAAAACAAGGTCAAACAACCTCTAAATAATACCAAATTTGCGCCACTATTCTAAAATTCTCATGAGCATTAGCGAATGATAGAAGAATCTATTTCTGACTTTTGCGAGATTAAAATTATATTAAGAATGATATGAATAAGATCGGGCAATGTGTATACTTCCTATATTGTCATTACTAAATAAAAGGGCTATGGCTGTTAAAAGACTTGTCATAAAACAATAAATGTATGCTCAAATGAAAGGGTAATAATGTATCACACTAATGTGAGTAAGAAACGCTGAAAATGTTCGAGCCCTTAGCTATGTTGCAAAATGAGGAGCAATCAATAAAAAGAGAATTAATTATCAAAATAACAAGTATGAAGAATATAAAGGTGGTGTCCGAATTTAGTAGTAAAAGAAAGTATTTAAGCAAAGTTCGAACACTGAAGACCTAAAGGCTAATAAATTAGCACACTAAACATGCATGATATACAGTTGAGGATTTATTGGTTTTCATCAAACTTAAGATTTCAATATATTTAAAATCAACAAAGAGTTCAGCTAAAGAATTTCATAATCTGAAGAATAAACACAAATTGAAAAAAGGCATTTAAATGAATGACATGGAATAGTCGTGCTAAAGTGTTAAGATAGAGACTATTATTGTTTAGGCTACCGAAATTAGCAGTGGGCTATCACTAATAGCATAGAACCATTTCCACCCCTAATATCAAAATACCTCATGGTAAAATGGCTTAGTATGGATTAATTTTAGAACAGAAGCACCAAACAATTAGGCAATGATATAAATTTGTGCAAACCTGTCCAATAAATCGTTTTTAAAGTCGAATGCATGATATGCAAAAGTGCATCATGATTTGGCAGAGGATTGAGAACAGTTTCCTGAAGGTTTAAAGCTATTTGATTGTTTAAATGAGTACAGAGCAAGCAAATAGCCGTGTGCCCTTTCAACTTCTGTTGATGCCAGTCAACGATAAGCTTTATCACACAATTTGGACCAAATTAAAATCGTGCACTGTTTGTTTGACTTCGTTTTCACAACTTGGTCAGAACAATAGAGATTTTACGGAGCCTACCTAGTCCTGCGTCATCTGTCAAAGTATTCATGATAGTTTCCAGCGCTGAATCGTTGACTTTGCACATTCCCAGAGGTTTCGCTTAAGGGCGAAACGGATGTCGGTGTGACCAAGCCTAATGCCAGGCCACATGCTTGATAACGCAGTTAGTTTAGATTTAAGTATGTGATCGAGTCACAAATACCCCATAATTACCATTGATATTACTTTTTCTACATATTTTATGATTTCCCTTGTTATCCTCATTTGAAGGAAGTTGAGAGCATTGAATTTTTGTATTCAGATTTATCTGGCTCTATAAAATCTCAATAATTACGGGTAATAATGTAGAAAACTTGCCTATAATTCCGTGCTGGTATGCGTCTAATAGTGTTCGATAGGCTCGGAGACCTATTTCCACGGAAGCCACTACCTTGGTGTGCTCCTGAGGAGGTTGCCGCAGTAGCTACTACCACAGAGCCTCCACTTGGGCTAGAAAACTCAAATCGCCGACGACCACTAGCGCTACGCTGGCTGCTAGAGCGATGAAACCTGCCGACCTCAGCAGCAGGGCTGGCAGGAGAAGTGGGCGAGTGAATACTTGGCCGTGGAGATTGAACGACCACTTGACGAGATGCTGAGTCCGTGTATGTAACATTCATGTTGAAGGGAAAATCGGCATCATCGGCAGAGCCGACCGGAGGCGCAACAACACCATTCAACGTGGCGTTGACTCGCGTCGAAACAACGAGGTCGGTAGAGTGAGGCTCAACAACCAGTCTGGTGGAGGTCTGAGAAGGCGGAAGTAGACCAGCGATTGGAATCTCACAGTCCGGTATCCCGGCTACATAGGTATTTGTTATCTCAGTGGTAGCAGTCGCATTGGCTACTAAGCCTTTAGATCCTGCAATAGGGGTTGTAGATACACGTGTTGAGGAGACAGAGGAGGCTGGACTGCATCGTCCCATAGTGACCTCGCGAGTGGCAAGTGGTCTTGAAGGAGTAGGTGACGGATCGTCCAAACGTTCCTCAATGTGGTGTACGATCTCCACAGAAGGCTCAAATTCATGCATCACATGGCTTGACCCAAGATTGATGCTACGAAGCATGGCAGATTCAAGAACCTCCCGATCAGCACTACGAACGTCCTGCAACGAAACGTCGCCTGGAAGCAAGTGGCGTCGTGTGGTTTCGCCAACAGCCCGACGCTCAGTGGTTATCGTGTAACCGTAATTTGAAGGCGACCCTTCGCGCAACGGTCCATCTGGACGCGGCGGTGCCGAAGGCGAAGTATCCTTGTGGATTACATATTGGCCTCCAGCCCCGGCCACCACTTGGCGATTGGAGCCATTTTGGGCTTGCACACGACCTACGTCATCTTGATAAATAGTTTGTGTTTCCCATGTTTCAATAAGCACTCGCTTCGGTTCATCCGGCTTTTCAGTCGCCTTGTCTAGAGTAACCTCCTCACGAGGAGCTGTAGATACACTCTCTTTGGGAGGTAGGGATGATCCCTGGCAAAATAATGGTATATGCGTAGGTAAACATCGATAAATATACAGCAATTAAGTTAACTAACTTTTAACTAATAAAAATGGCATATAGAATGAAAGGTAAATAATTATCACGAACCTATCGAACCATAGAATAATGATAGCATATTGTATAACATGAATGATGTCAGTTTGGCACGTTGAAGGCAGATTAATAAAAATTATAAGCTGCCTTGCCAACAGCTGGCTCAAGCTCTTACGAATATTTTTTGTGAGAGTATATCCACCTTTGATGGTAAAAAATAAAATTAATCATAAGACAATTAGGAAATTCTAGAAAGATCTATTAATTACTAGATAGTATAAATACTATAACTTAATTTCGTGATATATGCCTGATCAGAGATTATTATATTTCTACTGATGGACCATCTTTGGATGCGTCGGGGCATTGGCGAATGCATTTCATGTATTAATTTCAAAAATTACACTATCTCTTTATCTAGCCACCAGGTAGAATATGTGGAAATATCTGTCCGGTTGAGGGCGTAAATTCTTACTAAATTCTTTCCAGATAGCAAGCCAAGGGGCTATATGTGTAATGGTCTGTCGCCCATTCCACCAGGAAAATTGTACAACTCAGATTAGTCTAGGCAATTTTAGGTCTAAATATATAATTTATTTAATTTGTGTTCACCCTATTTCGTTTAAGGTGATGAAGGACTGATAGTTGAATTTTCCCACAATAATATGAATAGAGCCAATATTTTTCATTGAATTTGGCTTAGCCTTGTTTTTCCAAAGGGCGCTCTCATCCAGAGTGGACTGCGCTTTCCACCTTGCATAGGTCTCATCAACACTCCAAGCAGGGATCGAACCATGACAGTGCAGTGTGCTCACCATATTTCGTTTACAGTGATGAAGGACTGGTGTGGCTCTCTGTATGGTCACAGCCTCCTTTAGCTGTATGGTGTGGTTTTGGATTCCTTTTCGCAACTCACACAGATTGGCAGAGAGAGCTTGTCGCTAGGATAACCTAGTCCAGCATCAGATCGCTGAATAGGCACATTCCCATGCACTTTGCTGGCATCTTCATTGAGAAGTGCCATCCCTAGCACGAGTAACAACTTATCAAAGTGACGAATGAAAGCAATCCCCTTGATGAATTTTCTGTTCAATCGTTCTGGTATTACGCCTCACCCATAATTTTGTCCTAGCCTCTAGCGGTGCACAATGCCCATTTACCTATTCACACCAAGTCGCCTAAGAGTGTGCCACCGCTAATGGGCTTAGGGAAACGTAGCTTCTGACACCCTAAAATAATGCACACAAGTACACACCCACGCAATTCGGGTACTTTTATCTAGCACATCTGTAGCTCTAACACGACACCTTTAAGAAGCATAATCTGCATGTTTCTGACCTTTGATTTCATATCGAACGTCCCACATGATCCTCATGAGAGGATTATGAGGTACAAATGGAAGTCAAGAAAAGACGATTTTAGTGAGATGAGTTAAACCTGGAATCAGTCTGAAAATTTAGCGGAGTTTGTCAGTCTGTGAGATGAGGGATAGGAAATTAAGGGCCAGAAATAGTTAGACTATACTCCATTAAAGGGGCTAAGCTAAAGATATAGGCGTCACAGATATAGGTCTCCAGTGTGAGTGAATGTGCGAATG